AGCTCCATAATGGTTTGGAATGAAATCTGGTTTAATTTATTTCTTTTGGACTTCATTTTTCAACTGTAACTGATAAAAGATTTCCACCCATAGGCAACACAAACTGCTCTCCGCTTGCAGTATTTTCACGTTCCATTTTACGTTTTAACAATCCAGATGCTATTTGTTCTGCATTTTTTTCTCCAAGCGACTCATATTTATAATATTGCTTGCAGCTTTACTCTTGCAGCAATCGTGAAAAACTCCTCTGCCTTAAATTAACAGTGAGAATTTTATAACTATTTTTAAATAACTGAAAAATGAATTGGAAATAAAACAATAAAACTATTAAATCAAACATTACAGTATATATATATATATATATATATATATATATATATATATATATATATATATATATATATATATATATATATATATATATATATATATATTTAGGCTTATAAATAATGTTATAAGTATATTATAAGTAATATTTAACTCATACAAAAGCTCATTAAATTCATAACATTTAACTCATACTTTTGATAAACTCTCTAACCAGTTGGATAAATATGCAGTTTCTTTTTTTGTTTAGACTAAACAAATTTCTTCTGCAGTTGGAACAAACAACTGAAGGAAAAACATCAAGATCAAAGTTTGGCCAAATGTATTCTTGAATTTTTTGACATATTGAGGGTGTTATGGGCGTTAAGCATTTTGATCTTTGTTTTTCAAGCAAACTGCACAAGTACACATTTTAAATTTTGCGCCATGTTGGAAGTTATTAATTATATCTGGAAAAAGCCTGTAAATAAATTATTTTGAATACGATAATGGCTGACTTTATTTAAACTTTTGAAGAAAAAAAGCAAAAAATGACATATTTTAATTTTCAAAAATTACATACTTAGCACCTAGTTCAGATTTTTTTGGTAACTTAAATTGTGTTTACTATTGTATATGATTGATTTAATTCAAAAAAATTGGGAGTGGTAGAGTTTCAACCTGGTGGTCAATTTGGAGAACAGTGAATGATGAACAGAACTAGTTAGTTCATCACTATTTAGTGAGAAACAGAACTAAAGCAGCTTGCAGAAATGCTATAATATATTTTGAAAATAAAATTGCTAAAAACATCAATAAAAATCCTAAAGCTTTTTTTTCATACATTAAATTAAAAAAACATATAAAAAAACCTCATTCCAGAAAAAGTTTACAATAAGATAGTTGCTACAACTGATCTTGAAAAGGCTCAATGCTTCAAAAATTACTTTGCTAGTAATTTCTCTGATAATGAAACATTGGTTGTTCCAAGTTTTAACTTATCTTCTGTTTGTTCCAGCTCTCTAATGATCTTGATTTTGATCATAACTATCATGATATTGATATTTAACTATCTCCTGTTTGTAACTAGTTTTTTGTCTCCAATTTTCAAAAAAGGAGACAAAAAACTAGTCACAAACTATAGACCCATTAGTTTAACATGCACCATAGTCAATAAATATTTGAAAAAAGAATGCAAAAACATTTTTTTACTCATCTGTTAAAAAATAATCTGCCAACTCCTAGTCAACATGGCTTTTATCTGGGGCGATCTTGTGAAACAAATCTTTTTACTGTAATTAATACATGGACGCTCAATTTAGATAAAGTTCTCCCTGTCGATAATGTTTACCTTGACTTTAAAAAAGCATTCAACATGAGTATCTTCTTTTGAAACTAAAAGCCCATGGAATTAATGGTCTGATTTTTTATTAGATAAGAAATTTTCTTACAAATTGAAGATAAAGAGTAATGGCAAATGGTAATTACTCTGATTGGGTACCAGTAAAAAGTAGAGTTTCCGAAGGTTCAGTTCTCATAACTCCATTATTTATGATGCCATTTTTGGTAAAGATGCTTTGTGTCAGAATTCAATCTAAAAATAAATCTTGGTCATTTTTATGATTTATTGCTTTTGAATGAAGCTTTCTAATAAACTTTTCTACAATGTTTAACCACCACGAGTAGATCAACATCTAATTTGGTTTGCAATTTTAAATCTAGTTTTTAAAATCAAGATCCTTAAAAAAAATTTTCAAGCAAAATAATCCACTTTTTTTTAAAGTTCTCAATAAACCTATTAGATATTTTTTATAGTGTTTTCTCAATAAATAGATATTCACCTGATATGTGTACAACTGATATTAGTATTATCTCATATTCTCATATGTGTACAAAATTAAAAAGTTTTTTAAGAATGACCTTTTTGACAATTGTTTTCTTTTAAAATATATATATATATATATATATAACAATCTTTATTGCTTTACACTCTTCTCGTATCACACTTCACACTATTCCTATATCTTATATACACAGGGGCGAATCCAGGGTGTTGCTACTGATGCGCTGTAATGTAAACTCACCGTTAAAAAAAATGTTTTTGTAATACACAAAATTCTTATGTTTTGGGGCAATTGATGCATTCTCTTTATCATTAATATTTTTAAACCAAAATTTAATTATAAAAAGAAGAATTGCATCAGTTGTTACAAACCATCTAAAAAGTAAAATATACAAAGATTAAAACATTAAAGTTTTTGTTAACCAATCAAAATTGTAGATAGTAAAGAATATTTACACCGAATGCTACAAAATATAAGGAAATTTTAGCAGTTGTCAAGACAACACTTGTAATTATTTTAGTATTTAATAGTTTGGATTAGAAAAAAATTGATGTTTCACAGACGTGCAAATTGTGGTCGACTAAAATTTGAGCACCCAATTCAACTCCTAGAATTATATTTGTTCCATTTCTCCTAACTGTAATAATTTTTTGGTATATGCAGTTAAAAAAACTAAAAGCTGTGTAGAAGTCTAAATTGATTTAGATTGACTAGAGGGGAGCTGTATTTCAAAAAAATCATGCATCTCCTAATAAAATTCTAGATCTGCCCCTGCCTATAGATACATACCATACTTACATTCCTCAATACTCATAAAGAGTTGCTCTTTCTTTCTTCATATTGTAGTTTTTTTATTGTTTAACTTATCCATATTAAATTTGCTTTTTACTCTACAGATTATGCCATCATTTTTACCAGCCTTTTCACAATTGTCTGTTTTTTTGGATTTTTAGGTAGAAGGTCTTACTGCTAATGATCTTGGATTGAAAGCAGATGCCAAAGATGCATTAGCGATATATCCACAAGCCCCTGTTACACACGTTAGTATTTATGAAGGGAAAAATTTTACTATGGGTGTGTTTATATTGCACCCAGGAATGGCCATACCTCTTCATGATCATCCTGGAATGAATGGGATATGGTAATTTATAATTTTTTATATTAAAAAGAGTTTTTTGTGTTCATTAGTTCCATTAATTTTTTCTTTTTGTAACTTTTAGACATTTCCTTAGCATACATCTTTTTGCAAGTACTTTCACTCTGGTGCCCACTTTCAATTATTATTTTTCTTTCGTTTTGAGTGCTCACGATAGTATATGAACATTTTTTTAGTTATAACATGCTTTTTTTTCATTAAACATTTTAATAAAAAATTGAGAAAACTCTTGCATTGTAATCAACGTTGTATAAAAATAATTTATTAGTGTGGTTGCAAACCAATTAGAAACTATTATTATTATTATTTATTATAAATGCTAAAGTATAAAAAGTTCAAAAAAAAATGCATTTTTAGTTTCTCCTGTTCTCTAAGGTTCAAATCACAATGAATAACTTTGCTCTAACCCTGCTGGTACTAAAACCAATAACTTTTTTTATTTCTTAATCTCTTACTCAGATAGTCAACTTTGTGACTCATTTTCCAGACACCTCCAACCACTTACCCTTACTCCAGGATTTGTGTCTTGTCTCTGTTGATAAATGCGCCTCCTACTTAACCTCCTATATCCAGGCAGGTATGGAAGTTTTTATTCCTTCTCATCAGTTCCAAGTCAAGCCTCATTCTACTCCATGGTTTGCACCTTTTTGTGCAGCTGCTATATCTTGTTGTAATCGTTTTTTTCATCTTTTTAAAAGAACAACTCCCTTGAGAACAAACTCCTATTTATTATTGCAAGAAATCAATGTAAAAGGTGCTGATACTAAACTCCATTATTTCCAGTGTACTAAATCTTGTATCTTATCTCAGAAGTTAGGCTCTTTTTCTAGTGACTTTTGGAAAATCTTCAACAGTGTCATTAACTAAGTAAAGTCATTCCATCTCTCATTCATTAATGGGACTAATCTTATTAATTCTCCCAAGGGTAAGGCAGAACTATTAAACAAGAAATTTTCTTTCAACTCTTGAATCTTATGGTCATACTCTTCCTGCTATTCCATTTAAACTGGTTAACCCATTGTGTGAGATTCAAGTCACTCCAGCTTCCATTACTAAAGTCATATCTCAATTAAACACGTCTATGGCTTGTGGTCCAAACAACATTTCTTAATAGCCATTCAAAGGTGTTTTATAAAATTCTCTACAATTTTCTCTAAACTATTAAGTAAGTGCTTGACTGAATTTTGTTTTCATGTTTGCTGGAAATAACAACTGTGGTTCTATTTTTAAAAACTTTGGCAAATATTCTGACCCCTCCAACTATCATCTGATCAGTCTTCTCTCTATCATTTGTTTTATTTAATTTCTAATATCTCATCTTGAGTCAAATAACTTCATGTTAGATAATCAATACAGTTTTTAATCTTCTTGCTCTACGGTTGACTTGTTGACTGTTGACCAAAACCAAAATTGCATTATAAATTTAGTTAGACTTTCTCTATTAAAAAAGGCTAAGCTGCCAAGCTTAAGCCTTTCACACATCGTTGTAAAGTTGCATCTCTTTCTCTTTTCCACATATAGTATCTTGGCCACTGCTCAAAGGAGCTATCATCTCTAGTTCCATCAAACAAAATTCATTCTCCCTTGATTTGTCATTCATTAAAGTCACATCTTTTTACTGCATCTATCCCTGCATGTTCTAAAAACTTTTATTTGTTAAGTTTTTTTTTTCTGCACTTTAACTCTTTTGACCTTTCCCATCTTCATATTTTTCTGGCTCATACAACTACAACTTTTTAAGTCTTATGTCAACTGTTTCCTTGCTCTTTAACTCTATTCTTTATTTTCTAGTAACTTCCAACTTAATAGTGGTTAGATAGTAGTTAATAGTGGCTTGAAACCTTGTTGGAAGTGAAATAAAACTAAAATATAAAAATAAAAAATAGACTGAAAATCCCAATAACACATTATAATAAAAATATTTTTTAATATTAGTTAATATTAAAAAATAGACCCAATAAAACATTTTTTATTCATATAAAAATTTCAATCTGTAAAACTTACTTTTTTTATCCACTTTTTCACCTTTCAGCTATCTTGAACAGAAGTCTGGGAATTTACAAATTCAATAAGCTCTGTTGACCTTTTTTTTTTTTTTTTTTTGCTTTCAACAAGGCTGCAAGTAACCACTATAAGAGTTGAAAGTTACTGGGAGAGAAAAGATGAAGTTTGTAGAGCAAGATAACGGTTGACTTAAAAGATAGCAAATTATATGAATCAGGAAAGCAAGATATAGGAAGCGAATTCCAAAGAACTAATGTTCAAGGAAAAAAAATTAGACAAATAAGAGTTTTCTGACCACTTAGGAACAGTCACAGAAAAAGAATGAGACTTAATTGAATGACGAGTAACACGAGAATGAATTTTTATTTGAATGAATTTTAATTTAATGAATTTTAATTTTATAATGAATATTTATGAATGAATTTTAGTAATGAATTTTAGTCATGAATTTTTTGGCACAAGAGACGCTATCTCTTTAGAACAATTCCTGTTATAGTATTTGTAGAAAAGAGAAAGAGAAGCAATATTACGACAATGTGATAATAGTTGGAGATCAGCTGCAAGAGCAGGTCCAAGTATGTTTACAATGCGTTTTTGCACCTTATCTAAAAGAGAAAGGGTATCAGAAGATCTGCCCCAGATATGGCAACAGTGCTCCATATAAGGATGGATTTGAGATTTATAGAGATAATGAATAGATTCCGTAGTAAGAAAGTGTCGAGCTTGATAAAGAGATGCAACCTTAGCAGATGCTAATTTTGCAATGGATTTGATATATGGTTTCTAAGAAAGATCAGAAGTAAGAGTTAATCCTAGAAGATGAAGGGTAGATGACTCATCAAGTGCATTACCATTCATAAATAAAGGAAGATTTAAACTGTTGCGATAACGATTGGCTGAAAAAAATTGAGTTTTATTTGAATTAAAGTTCACCAGCCACTGTGAGCCCCATGCTGTAGCAGAAGTAAGATCCTTTTCAAACTCAGGTTCCCCCTCCAATCAATCAGAGAGTGTTGGCTTATCATGACAAAAATAAATGGTAGTGTCATCAGCAAACAATGCGACCTTGGATGTGAGAATATCTGGAAGATCGTTAATGTAAGTTAAAAAGAGTATAGGGCCAAGGATTGAACGTTGAGGAACCCATGAAGTTACAGGATATGAAGTGGAGTGCTGTCATTGAGGACAACATTTATACTACAATTGGAAAGAAAGGACTCATTCATCTTAAAGATGTTACCAGATACACCGTAAGAAGAAAACTTGTGGAGAAGACCAGCATCCCAAACTTTATTAAAAGCTTTAGAAATGTCAAGAGTGCTAGCCTTAACCTATCCACCTCTATTTAATGCACAATAAAACTTATCGGTTATTACTCTTAGCAAATCAGCTATAGAATGAGAAGATCGACCAATACATATTGATGATCAGAAAGTAAGTTATTAAATTCAAGATGAGAGATTAAGTGTTTTGCTTATAATAGCAAAAAGACTAATGGGACGGTAGTTAGATCAAATCGCTCTCCAAAATTTTTGAAAATAGGGATAACAGATGCCGCTTTCGGGCATGCCAGAAAACAAGAGTCTGATAAGCATTTGTTAAATAGTTTTTAAAGTATAGATGACAGCTTCGGAGAACACTTTTGCAAGTCTTCAACAGGTATGTTGTCTGGACCACAAGCTGTAGAAGAGTCTAAGCAGGAAATCACTTTTGATACAAAAGCTCGAGTGATACAAATGTCAAGTAATGGATCAATCTGTTTGATGGCTATATCAGGTAGAAGACAACTAGTGGAATCAAGAGATGAATTCCGTTTTGTCTTTAGGTGTGTTGACAAAGTATGAACCATACAAGAGAGGTGGAATAACAGTTTTGCCCTTATTATTGATACTGTTAAAGATTTTCCAGAAGTCACAAGAGCCTAAATTTTGTGATGAAATACGAGATTTTATGACCTGAGTATATTTGGCATTAGACAAAACCTTTTTACAATGGTTTCTAGCAATAGTAAACAGGCATTCTGGAGATTTCTTTTGCTGCAGCCATATTCTCATCTCTCCGTTAAGCTTAACGGAGCTTTTGCCTGAAATTTCATTACAATATATTTAAGTAAAGAAATGACTAAAATCTTATTTAAATTTTTAAAAATAAAACTAATACTAAAATAAAACATTTTTAAAAATTTATATTTTTAAAGAACTTTTTTATTAATATCTTTAAAAAGAAATTTTTTACTAACGCTCTGTTAAGCTTAACGGAGAGATGAGAATACGGCCCCTGATAGATATGGAAGTAACAGTTTCGATTGGAAATTGCAGCAGCACAATGTTAGGAAAACCATGAAGAAGAGCGAGGCTTGACCTGGAATTGTTGAGAGGGAAGAAAAGATTCCATGCCAGGCTGAATTCACGAAGTTACATTAGAAGCACATTTGTCAACAGGTAGACAAAAGATTTCTACCCAAGGGCTATCACAAAGAAAATCACAGAAAGAGTTCCAGTCAGCTTTAAGGTAGTTGTAAAACGTATGATGATAGGGGGATTCTGATTATGAAGAAGAATGAGATAATAGTTTTAGAGAGATCAAACTGTGATCAGAAACACCTAAAGGTGAATGTGGAGAAACTGAGCACTGATTAGGATCAGAAACAAGACATCAGTCAAGTAGAAAAGGTAAATTATTCGGGTTTTCTGGAAAACGAGTTGAAAAGTTGACTATTTGAGTTAGAGATTGAAAAAGGCATAAGTTGAGGGCCTTAACGCCAGCAGAGTCACTGACACTAGAGGCGAGCAAATCAGTGTGATGAGCATTAAAGTCACCAACAACAGCGATATTGGATGATGGATAAAGAGAGAGGACTTGGTCAATTTGATCAGAAATAACATTGAAAAAAGTGCAGTCTTGAGATAAAAGAGAGCGATATAGAACAAAGAGAAGTTTAGCATCACTTCATTCTATCCCTTATAGAGTGAAGTGGTGCT